TACAGGTTTTTTAATTTTTTTGAAATGCTGTTTTTTCGATTTTCAATTTTTTAATTTTATTTTAATAATTTAGAACCGAACGGCCATTTCAAGCGCGCGAAACGCACGAATTACAAAACTGTTTTTATAAAAAAAATTGTAGATTTTTCATTATATAATATTTTGGCATTAAAATTGTCAAAAATATTCTTCTTTTATTAGGTTTTACATTAAATTTAAAAAAACGCAAGAAATATTTCATAAAAGTAGATATAATTTTAATAATTGAAAGGTGTGGACCGGACAAAAAAAAGATTTATCTTGTCCCGTCCACCCCTGTCAATTATTGAAATTATCTCTACTTTTATAAAATATTTCTTGGGATTTTTTTTAATGTATAGCCTAATAATAGAAGAATATATTTGACAATTTTGATGCAAAAATATTATATAATAAATAACCTACATTTTTTTTATAAAAACAGTTTTGTGATTTGTCCCGTCCATCCGCTTGAAATGGCCGCGAAGTTGTAGAGATAAAAAAATTCCAATAGAATAATTCTTGGTGCACCCTGTATATTTAAAAGTTTGTATATAACATCTGGATATGCTTAAATGAGTTTTGACATGGGCTAGATGTGGCTGATTTTGAAGAAAATACAGAAAAGTTTACTTAGGGATAAGTAAAAAGTGCCTTTCACTATATTTACAATTTTGTAGTTGTTTGCAAAACTTTACCCATTTCCATTAAGATTTATTCCAACTGTCACTACACTGGTGCATTTTAAGTTGCTTACTTTAAAAATCAATATGTAATAAAGATTACAAAAATAGAATATATTTTCCCAAAAATACTTTAAAACATGATATTATATAAATCAAATATCTCATATAATATGTTAACAAAACTTGCATATGTAAATAATTTATTTGACCATAATTAAATTTGTTAATGTATCCTGGAAACATGAATTACTTCGCTATTATGATACCAGAACTGGTTATTAAAATTATTTACATTATAAAATAGCGCTTAGTTTGCAACCTCGTTAATCACGAAATAATAGATTGTAATTTTCATGAATAAATAATTGAAGTTTATCGAAAATTTTAGAACTTAAATAAAAATTCTTAAAAAAATCGTATAGAGCAATGCATTGTTGGGTATTTTTCAAGAGGAAGTCCTGGGTTAAGTTTTTACCTGTTTCCCAATAAACAGTACTGTGCAGTACTGCAGTGTAAATCAAAATCAAGAAATAAATTGCATAAAGTCCCTATAAATATCCATTATACCTATTAGTAACAATAAATACACATTTTATTAACAATTTTCTTAAAAATTGAAAACATTTTAATTCAGTAAAAATCATAAAACGCAAACGCTAATGCAAACAGCATTAAAATTATTAAACCGTTTATTGAGAAAGTCTCCACTTAACGGTAAGAGACCAAAAACGGGTATTATATTATTTATTGTATATAATATTATGTTACCATGAATTCGTAGATATATTTTGTCGTTTAAAATGCAGTTGTCGAACTTTTTCTTTAGAGGACTCAAATATAAAATTTTTTGAATTTAAGGATATGTTTGTATAATTATTATTTTGTGTTAGATTTCTTAAATATGTCCAAACCTAAATATGAATTATATTAGATAAAGTTATCATTAGTAAATTCTGCATCACCAAATAGGTACACAGTAAAAAAATATTTGTTAATTTTAACCAAATATTAACCAGATTTTAAGTTAATCCAGGTCTACATAATTTGATATAAACTGTAATCTGTTAACTAATTGAATAAGTAACAAAATAATCTGTAACCTTTGAAATTATTAACCTTTGAAATTATCAAAATACTTACAAAACTTTCGGTAAAATATTTTTATTTGTTAAAATAATTACAAACCCTGGTTTTCTACAAAAAATTATGTTAAAATTTTACAAGATAAAATTAACAAACTTCAAACTCATGTTAACAAATCTGATTTTTATAACAGTGTATACGTACCGAATTGGATCATGATCATACAAATTAGTTTTTAAATTACCTTTTCATATATGATAAACAAATTAAATAAAATTGAATAAACATGACATCCTTGTGGTACACAATGGTTAAAAAGTTATTTAAAATCGAGAACTCAAACTGCTGATGTAATCCTAATCGTTTTGGACTTATACTGATTCTGCACCAAAACAGTTCTCGAGTTTAAATTACTTTTTAACCAAAGATAAAATTTGGTCGTGATACCCAATGCATTAGTATGCTAAGTATGTTGTGGTTAACTTTAAAAAAATCCATCTGGCTTTGATTCTCCAAGGCACCCAACAAATATTGTTGACTTAAGTCTTGCTCATAAACTATTAGGTTCGTTAGTGTAGATCTTAACTAAATTCATCAACAATTTTTTTTTAAATACACGTGTAATTTTGCTTGTAATAATTTTCTCAATTATTTTGAAAACTTGTGATTTTTTTAAATTGGTCTAGTTCGTAATATCATTATTGCACTTATTAGAAAACTCAAAATTGTTTAATTTGCGATTATAAAAATATTTGAATTAACAAAAAGTGGACATTTCCTGCAATCCACTGTTTAATTTTTCGGTTTGACTAAAAATGAAGATACATTTTTTTATCGGGTTATAAGTGGTACAAGATAAATTTGAATATAAATTATTGAATATATTAAGTTCTGAACGGCATAATTAGTAAATTAAGTGTCCAATACTGACAAAACAATCTTGGGGTTACTTAATTATTAACTTCGAAATTTCCTCAGACTGTAGTAGGTATCTACACAGAGTAGGTGGATTTTCTTGCGTGTCGACCGCAAAATTTCTCGCTAACTGGGTAATTACTCCTACAATCTGTGCCTGAACAAAACACGAAACTGTCACAGGAAAATTGCATCCGCATGTTTTAATTAAGATGGCAAAATTAAACGTTGCTCATGCGATAATCTGCCGAAAATCTTAATTAAAAAAAAACGGTACCTGCACGGGCACTTATGCTAACTGCTCGTGTCAGTTTTTTTCAGTTTCTCCAGCCAGTTTAAAGGATCAATGTGACGTTACCATCGTCAATTGCAATTTTAACGTAGAAATCTCAAAATCGATACAAAACATGTTCTGCAATCACTGAATACCTGTTTACACCTATTTATTAGGGTGCTTTTTTATTTCTTCGCTCCCCACTCAAAATCTTGTTGAAAATGTTCAAAAAAAAATTCCCTGAAAATTTGAGCCCTTAATATTAACTCCAAGTACTCTCCCAAAGCGTATAAAGATTTCCCATTTAAAATACACGTATACTTTGATATCTATATCTCAGCCGTATTTTATGCTATTGGATTGTTCCAAAAAGGGATTTGTAATTTGCACCTGCAGTATGGTACGGGTCACTAAATCTCATAGATATTTCAAAAGTGACTGGATTCATCAAAAAAAATGTAAAGGACAAACTTGTAGAAAAATTAATTTTCTTTTAGGTTTTATCAGTTGAATAGCTAAGATTGATATTTGTTGAGATATAAAGCGTTTACATTTTATAAAATTTTTCAGGATTTTCGTACCAAACTTTTTGTAATTGATAATTTTTAATTGTTTATGAGTAATTACGTTTTTTCTACATTCGGGTGATTAGAGAAAAATAAATAACTAAAACATTCAAGCATAATTGAAGCCTGGTAATTAAAAAGCGTCTAAATGCCACTGCAGTGCTAAACAAAAAGGTGGTAACTAATGCATTACTTAATATTGTTTAATACATTTGTGATTTGTACGGCAGCGGCACTTAGACGTTTTTGAATTACCACGCTTCAATTATTAATAACATAACTTTAAAGAGAAAAGTTTTTAACTTCTCGTTATGAAAATAATAATTTTCGACAATTGAAGAATTATTTATTGTCTCTTATTTGTGGTAAAATTTCTATTTGCCTGTGAAAAATATTATAAACATATTTATAACTGTATTAACGATCAAACAACACTGCCCGTCAAAATTAACGCATAATAAGTAAATTGAAATTTTGTACAAAAATACTTCAACTTATATCTCAGTTTACGTGTTCGAGGGTTTTTCAAAAAAATATTTTTAAAGCTTAAATTTAATTAAGTAATAAAAAACGTTCTAAAATAACTAATGTTATTAGTTTCATAACAGTATACTGTATACTATCTCCTTCAACGAAATGACTAAATGTATTGATAATTAAATTAGCCTAGGACGTTAAGCTTAAAAGTACAGTTTGTAGGTTTGTACGTTGACATTGTTAAATTGATAAAGACATTTTTGTTTGTAGAAAAATATTTACAATTTTATTTTACAACAGAACACACACAAGACAAAATTACTTAAGTACGAATGAAATTCAAATTGTCACTGTCAAATTCTAACAAATTTACGGTTGTTTTTTATAGGCATTATAAAAAGTATAAAACGACCAGTATTTAGTTTCAATTAAAATTAGGTTTTTATAATACCGGTAAGTTTTCTTTAGTTAAATAGTTTAAAAAAGAAATTAATGTTTTTGAGTTTTGCAATTTGATTTAATATTGCTTTGATATTTTCTTTGTTTTGTTTTTTTAGTTTATTTGTTATATAATATTGGTCTTATGTCGTTATATAATATATACTATATAAATATTATATATTATTCAATAAAATAACATTATTTTAATATTAAAAAATACAATATTCTATTGAGTCTTCGTGTACTGAAACAAAATAAATATTCTTTACAATTCTAAATTGTCGCTATAAATATATTGCGATATTAAAATATTTTTATTATAATACGAATATTTCTTGAATAATTATTTATGAATTATTTTAGTTTTAAATGCTCAGAGTTACTTATTTGTACACAAATTTTCATTTACATAGATAGCATAATTAATATTCTAATGAAACCATATCCTCAGGACGAAATTATAAAGCTGACCCATTCGAATTCGTGTGTATTCGTGTGTATACACATAAATACATAAATAATTTTGCGGTTTTGTTGCAGGATTACAAATTGAAGCACATGGCGGAAATGCAACAGTCGGTGGTCGGCGATTCGGACACGCGTCAGCAGATCGCAAACCAGGTGGTCCAATGGGAAGAGAACCTCGAAAGGCTACACTGCGAGCAGTTCAGACTTAGGTGCTACATGGCAAGTCTGCAGAGCGGCGAGCTGCCGAATCCTAAGGTAAAAGTTCAAAAAAACTTGTACTTTGCCCCAGTGGCGGATTGTGGATTTTGGGTATACCGATATCTCAGTTACTTATATGAGTTTATAATGACATTAAATAGAAAAATTCTGCGCATGCAGAATTTAAATTGAAGTATGCGAAAAAAAGTCAGTTTTTAGCACGCCTCAACAATCCCCTGTCATCCCTAATTAAGATTATTCAAATTAAAGTGCAATTTATAATTCACTAAAGTTTATCAACAAATTTCAAAATGTATTTTAAAAATCCAAAACGCCCACCTATATTACCTAATTTTGGGCTGGTGATTTCAAAAATGCCACTCGTTTTGCTCCAGGACGTCTAGGATTCGAAATAATTGCGTAATAAAATGCTCTGCCCAATTTTCTCAAAATGTAAATTTTTCGTTAATATTTTGATTATTTATTAAATTATTTTACTTTAAATCTATTTTGGATGTTCAGTATATTTTTGACATTTTTTTTTCAAAAATATACAGGGACTCCATATAAGTAATCGGTAGATAAATGTCAAATAGAAATTTGTTTTGTTCCATTGTAGTCGTATACTATAGTAGTATTATATAAGGGATATTTAATAAAGCACTTTTCAGCAGAGAAGTGCTTTATTATATACCAAAACTAAAATTATAATGTTTTTCTGGTAAAAAGTATAATTTTTGACATTTTTATGTTGTTTTTTGACATTTTTATGTTGTTTTTTAATTACTATTTAAATTGAAAAGGTATAAACATTACTCTTCGACTATTATTTGATATTTTTTTATTCACATCATGCCTAAAGTATCCAAATTAAATCTCCAATCCTATTTATTAAGTCTTATCAAAATTTAATATCGAATTAAAATATAAAGGCGCCTTTATTTACTTTATCGTTCAAGCACATTAAAGTGCATCTATTAATTTTTGACATTTAAAATTTAAACTTTCAATTGTATTTTTACTTGAAAGAGATTTTAAGAACCAAAAATGAAAAAAGAGCATAAAATGGAACTGGTAATGGAAGTGGCAGAAAAAGAGAAAGGGGACGAACCTTTATGTCGTCGTTGTAAATTTCTTTGTTTTTGTTGCGGTACCTTTACACCCAAGAAAAACCAACGCAATATTTAATAACTTTAATTTTGCAGGAATATTAAATGGACGTCGTATACGTTTAATAAAAGATCAAGCATTAAAAAATGCTCTCAAAGTTGACAAGCTTGTCGCATATGGCAGTGTCATTGAAAATATTCTTGGTTCATATCGGGCCTAAAATTGGCGCCAATTCATTGAAAAAATGATATCGGTTTTGTGAAGAATTAGCTTTAAAACGTCATTTAAAATACATTTTCTTTTTTTCATCCTGAGAAATTTGCCGAACTGATGAACATGGAGAACGATTTCACCGAGTAACTGCAATACTACGAGTAGAGTATTGGTAGATGGGTATAGCGGAAAGAATTTAAGGATTAAGCTCAATAATACTATAATTTAATTCGATATTTCGTTCGATTTAATAAATGTAAGGTAGAAAAAAGCAAAATTATGCAATGCATTAAATTTTGTGGCCTAATTTGGATAAAAAATACCGAAACTTGTTTACTTTGTTGCCCTTTCAATTCAATAATTAAAATAAACGACAAAAAATGTCAAATAATGGTTGTTTTTTTTACAAAAAATACATTAAAATTTTAGTTTTAGTATTATATAGGTATAATATTATATTAAATTTATCCCGCCATATAACAGCTGCAAAATACTTAAACCAGTCGGTATAGTTTCATTGCAATTGCAAAGTTTTATCAATTTTAGTTCCCTATTGCATGTGACAGAGGGCGTGCTTTACTCATTTATCATATTGGAAAAATTTATTACCACTATTTTCCAAACGTTATACACTGATACAGAATAATCAGAAATTTTATACGGTAAAATATGATTTATATTATAGTTCCGGTAAAGAACAGGGGCATATTTATTTTGTAAAGTATTGACTTAACAATATATTTTATATGGGTTATTTCGAAGAATAAATAATATTATGCTATAAATAGATTTCAAAGAATTGAATCTGCATTTAATATTTAAAACGTGTTTCCTGGAATTGTTTAAAAACTATTAAAACACAATAAAATAAATTTTTATCCATGTCATAAAGCTTAATTGAAAATTTAATTTTTGTACTCCCACCTATAAAAGGTAATGAACGTTTTAAAGGTGGGAGTAAAAAAATAAATTTACAATGATGTTTCCATGAAACGAAGTGAACTTTTAAATACACATTGACAATACACTTAAGTGTAAAAACTTTCCCTCTTACAATTAAAAATGTTAAATACAAAACTTAGACTAACCTTAAAAATTTTGGATATAGTATTTATACTGCACTTCCCTTGAAAGTTTTAGTTTTAAAATCGGGTATTTGCAATCTTAGTTTAAAAAGTTTAAAAATCCAAAGTGTACTTTTTACAGTAACGAATTTCGTGAAATTTAATAAAAAACAGAATAAATATGAAAACCAACGTCATGTATGCCTCAAAATTTTTATTTAAATTTACAAAGTCGGTTATAAATTTCAACTAACTTGTAGGCTTCTTTGTAATTTATTTTAAATAAATATATTCTCGTAAAGACCTTCAAGGGTGGAAAAATATGTGATGTAGATAATTACTTTTTCGCTATATCAAAGTTCAGTGTAAAAATTTACATAGTTTTTACATTTGAAGCCCTGAAATTATGCTTTTATGGGCCTTTACCTTTCTTTGTTTAATTAATGTTATAATACATGATGTAATTAATTATAATAATAATAGGGACATTTCATAAAAATACTGACATGATTAGGAAAAACACAAATAAATGTATATGGTTAGTAGGTTGGGCATCTTGTTTTTAAGCAACGACTACTTTATTTATTTTATATAAATTAAGTTTAAGAACTGTCAAACTGGCAAGCGTCATATATTTTTTAAACATTGCTTTGTCAAAAGGTATCAAAGTTTAATGAAACACGAGTTACCACTTTTTGTTGTTTTTAAAACCAAATGTATGAAAAAACATTAATGGTTGTATACATTTCTCTATGTTTATTCTTGATCTATTTTTTATATTTAAGAGTAGTTTCATTGTTAAATGCGCAGAAATAATAAAAAGTTTATGGAAAGATAAGGATGTAACGCGATCCCTGAAAAAAAATAACTTTCTAGATTTAGTAGAATAGGCACAAGAGCCAGACAAAAATCACGAAAATTGGCAAATTATCATGAATCTTTAGTGGTTTACCATTCTTTTATGAGGTTAACTAATTGGACAATAATAATTTATATCGAAAACACACTTACTGAATAGTAAAAAAAATTAAAATCATTTCAATATTTGTCACAGAAAAAAAGTTCTGGACCACTATAAGAGAGTAAGAAATTGACACGATTTTAGATTTCTAAAGGGTGCCGATTAAAAGTAAATAATCCAAAAATTAAAACGGCAACGGATTTTCATATTTGATACCTAAAAGATCATCCTCAATTTTTTTTATCAAAATAAAAAATCAAGCAGCGCACCCCAATTGGGGTTTTTATTTGGAATGACTCACAGCTTGTAATTAATTATAATAATATTTTATAATTTTAAGTGGTAGGTCCTGTAATCCGTAAAATTTTTGCATGAATCGTTTGAGGCTCATAAGGTAAAAACTCAGTTTTTTATTTTATTTTCCTCGAAAATGTTCATCCTTAATGACATTTTATAAACATATAACATAAGAAAAAAATGTATAACTCGATAACAAATAAACATACAACAATACAGTGTGTTTTTGTGTCATTTTGATTAGCGATATTTCGAAATTTATTTTAAAAAAATACCATTTAAAAATTTTTTGTTAAGTATTAGTTTTTAGTACTCAAAAAGCTCTATGATTAATAGAAGAACTCCAAAAACGAAGAGTGTTTCTGAATTTGGCATACCCAAAAACCCCTAAAAAAATAATTTTGTAATGTTATACAGGATGGTCAAAAAGAAAGGACAAATTTAAAAACTACTTACTTTTCGCAGAGGGCACTCTGTTAAAAATTTCTATTGTAATTTTACTAAACATGTTTAGGATGTTTTTACGCATAACAATATAATAATAATAAAACTCAGTTTTGTAAATTCACCACACGATTTATTACAACTCAATTTGGGAAAATTACAAAACGTTTGTTGAAATTCACTAAGCTTTTATTAAAAATTTGTTCAGTAACATTACTATACAGGTATTGTAATTTTGCTAAAAAAATAATAAATATGTTTAGTAATTTTAAAATGGTGTATTGTAATTATACCGATTCATTTCAACTCAGTTTAAGAAAATTACAAAATATATTTTACAATTTTACTAAACTGAAGAAAATTCGTTTCGCTATATTACAATACAAATATTGTTATTTTGTACAACAAATTACACTAAAAATATTTAGTAATTTTGAGTTCCACTAACTTCAAATACCGACAGACAGCTAGACAGATATACCTATTTTGGGTCTTATCATCGGGCAATTTGGTGTATTGGAACACACCCAAAATACCTGAGCTTATATACTGTCCACCTAAGTCAACCGAGGCGAGATGTAAGAACTTCACGTGATTGCCGCAATCGGTACATACTATGCATTTTACAAAACATTATAGCAAATCAAATTACAAACAACGTTTGTAAATCTGAGATGCTTTTTATTAGAAACTGTCAAACTGTTTAGTAAAATTAAAACTTATCTTAGTGGATTTCCCAACATGTCTTGGAAGATTTCTCAAATTGTATTATAATTTTGTATTGGTATACACTGATTACATTTGATTTACTCATCCTTTGTTTTGCAAAACAATTATAATTTTACAAAAAAATTTAACAGTGTACCTACATGATTAAAATGATATATAGTAAAAATGCAAATAGAAGTTGTATAAAATAAATAATAATTTGTATATTTCCAAACACTTATTGTAATTCAAATAGCAAATTTTTGTTAGTAATTTTATTGATTATCTTAGTAAAATTAAATTCCGAATATGTATAGAAACTTTATATAAAAAATGACTATGGTAATTTTTTTTCAAAAACACCATTTTTTTTAACTCCAAATAACATTCTTAGAAACATAAAAATGTATAAAATATCAAATATATTTTTTGGATAAATTTCAACTTTACTTATATATAAAACTAATTATAATTTATATTGAATCTTATAAAAAAAGTTATGTACTAAGCGACTTTATTGGCCCAATTTTTTTCACATATAATTTTTTTCATTTTCAATATTAAATATTACGACTTGCAAATGGAGCTTGTGGTGTGCGTAGGCGGCTATAGAAAAGTAATTGGCCTTTCGCGAAGCTTCGTGGGGATTCGCTAGAGAGTGATGAAAGACAACTTTTGAACTTTTGACAAAAGCCCCGGCCTCGCTTACCGACAGTTTTTTTTATATCTTAGGCTTCGCCGTAATGACCAAATAGGTTCTTATTGTAGCTCGAAGCTAGATTGCTTGCGGCCATTAATACTTTAAATTGGTTTTAAAGAGGTGAGTTAGTGGATACGCTTAAGAAATTCACATAAAAATAAACGTTGAATAAAGCCCCAACAAACATTTGGACTCAAATACTTTAATTTAAAATTACTAATAATGTTCATATTATTATATTGTTATTACTCGGATTTTAATCACACAATATTTGATTTAGAACCTTACATTTATTTAGATAACGTATGCATATAAATTTTTGGAAAAAAATTAAACCCCGAAAAAACAACTTTGAAAAATATATTTAAGTGGTCCATTTTCTTCAATTTGGCGAAGCTTTGTTCGAACTTGTAGCATTAGTCTCTGGACGGATAATAGCATGATGCCAGGTCAGGCCAAAACATTATTTCGTCTCCAAGGTGTTCATTAATAAAATCAAATAATTTTGGAAGACATCTTTGGGTATATACCGCGTGTATCTGGGAATAGGCGCACCCCTGTAACTTTTTTATTTATAAAGATAGACACATGAAATTTAGCATGGTTAATTAGAATATAAAATGCCACTTATAAGAGTTTAAAATGAATTTTTTGAACTTCCGGTTTCGCCGAAAATGATACCAACTTTCGATTTTTAAATGGTATGCCCTATAAATTTTTACATATTAGGAATCCTGAGGAAATTCTGAGTCAGACAGCATCCTCAAATTGACCTTTTAACGTTTCGTTATCAGAAAATGTATCATCATAAAGATCAATCTAGAGTGCTTTGAACTCTCTTATTTTCTTCTAATGGATTCACACAATGCCTGAAAATGGAACTTGCCTTAAAAAGTTGTTATTCAGCTATTCCCAGCAGTCTAAACTTGTCAAAATTCTTTTTTCTCAAATAGTTCAATGCTGATCTTTATGATGATGCATTTTCTGATGACGAAACGTCGAAAAGTCAATTTGAGGATGCTGTCCGACTCAGAATTTTCTCAGGATTCTAAATATGTAAAAATATATAGGGCATTCCATTTAAAAATCGAAAGTTCAAAAAATTCATGTTGTACTCTTGAAAGTGGCATGTTATATCCTAATTAACCATGCTAAATTTCATGTGTCTGTCTTTATAAATAAAAAATTTACAGGGGTGCGCCTATTCTCAGATACACCCGGTATATTGGCATTAACTGCTTCCCCCTTACCCGCCCAACATAGGTCTAGATATACCTCTATCTGAAATGGAAGCCCAAACTAAAACTTTATCTTCAATTTTTTTTTCGCCTTTGTGGGAACATCATTAGGACAATCTTCAATGTTATCAGTGTAAAAACCGTCATTTCCTTTCATTTCAGAATTGGAAAAAGTGAAATATTTTTCGTCATCCAAAATGATGCGTTTGTTATTCGCGAAATGAATTCGTCGTAGTGCTCTGCAGCATATCGGAATTCTCTGTAGTTGATTCTGCGTGTATTTTGGGCATTTCCGTCTTTTTGGATATTTTAAGTTTCTTCTTTTAAATGTTCTTTGTATTGCGGCACTAGATACATAAAATCTTCTTGCCAGTTTTCGATCAGATGTAGCCACTTCATGTCTTGCGCTTGTAACCATTTTTTACTTAGAACTTTGGGTAAGTTAAAACAAGGTATTCCTTGTTTGCATTCAGCTATTGTCCGATAGATTTTTGTTTTGGAGATATTTTTATTCCAAAAAATATTTCCAATTTCACGTTTCTATATCCGTCCAACAAGGTTGTACATTGATACTTTTTCGAATTTCCAATTTTTATGACATGTTTTTGAGAAATTTGAAACAAATGTTTTTTGTTATATCAAGGTTGCTTAGCAACGAATAATTGTGAACAATGGTAACTTGTTTGGTGCTCATCATAAAGCTGTAATTCATGTATAAAAAAATTCCCAAAACTTTAGATGCATACGTTATTTATTATAAGTACAAAATACACGACTTTATATAAACTTAATTATTTCCTTTTTTTCAGTCTCTTTTAACACACGTTTCCCGAGCAACGAAAAATACCCTTAACAAACTAGGAGTCTTTACTGTATCATCGTTCCACGCTTTTATCTGCGCTAGGAGTCCCTCTCTGTTAAACAACCTGCTGGCAGGACGAGGCGCGACCAAGAGACGACCACCGATGCTGTCGCGATCGAACAGCGGATCCAGCAGAAGATCAATGCAGGTACGACAACCCTCAAAAATACATTTATTTATAAAAATTTTAGTTGGTTGGTTGGTTAGTTTCACCAATATTAATATTTTTACCACTGTGCGAATTTGTCCTACCATTTTAAAATTTCTCACTGTGCGAATTTTTTTCACCATTTAATAATTGTTTTTTTCATTTTATTTAGAAACAAATAGGCTTTATATTGATATCGAGAAACATAACTTAAGTTTATTTTATTTTTTTTATAAGGCGTTAAACTTAAAAAATTACATTTTTTTATTAAACTTTGTAGAAAAATAATTATTTTGCTCTTAGTAATAAACGTAGAGCCTTGTTTTTTATTTGTTTTATTAATAAATAAATAGGCTTTGCTGTGAGAAAAAACTAAAATAGTTTGTCTACTAGATTTTAGAGCGAAATTATTAAAATTATTATACTTTTTGGAAAACCAATTAATCTGCCGTTAATAAATTTTTTCATCTACTCCTATTGCATATTATTGTTTTTTTTTTCGAACTACTTATTGGAGTAGATAAAGTATATTATTAAAATCAAGATAATGCGTATTATTCACCCGGACGGTTTAAGTCTCTCTATAATAACTATAATATATCCTATATTTATTATAGTGTATTCTACAAAATTCTTAGCGCGCGGCCTTTTATAAACCACTATAACTTTCTTAGGAATCAAAAGATGTATCAATAACCATATATAACCTTATTCGTTATTTTTTGGACTACTATTTGATGTAAACATTTTCCTGGACCAACTTGGACCGCATAACTTATCCCTAGTTAAGTGTATAAAATTTTATGATTTTACAAGGTTTTATATTATTTAATTTAATAAGTACCTACAATTATTAAAATAATTTTACAAAACATATATCTTATTACATACATCTTAAATTTAAACCATATTTTTTATATTTTTGTTGTGTATAAAAAGTAACATCGCCTTAAATGCAGAGAAGATTTCGTTTAAATCTAAAATCTTATTTTTTACGTATTGCTTCACTTTAAACAGCTGTATTTTATGTAAATAAAATGTTTTTTAACATTTTTTTATAATCTTACAATATAAGGTTTTTTCTTTTCATTGATGTATTATTTTTTTTAATCAGATAAAGTTTACTTTTTGAACTTTTGGCGCTGGTATATACGTCACTTCCGTCTTATATCGGTCGGTCTGTTTTTCTACCCTAAATCCCCATAAAAAGCATATCTTCCAAAATATGTAAATTTGCAATTTTAATGTTGTTGGGTCCTTGCAGCTGAAAATTTGACTTGCTGAACTCCAAATTGTATGTGAATTATTAGCACAATTTGTCGTTGCAACATATGCTCCATTAATTTTGCTAATCTTACACATAAATTTTGGAATCTGACTTTAATTAACCGAACTACTAACAAGGTACATATACCATAACTTTTTAAAATCTAAATTATACATATTTTCATGTTCATATTAAATGCTTGACCAAACCACAATCGTCATAAACGAAAAAAAATTGTAATTCCTATAGACAGGGCTGGCAAATATCATGATATTTATAAATATCCAAATATCAAATATCGACATATATCCGTTATAAAAATTTGGATATTTATCTCTTTTTTTATTATAACTATTTTCTGCTTAGAGAATTAAAGATATATGTTTAAGATTACTTAATTTAATATAATTTTAAAATTTTATAAACATGTATATTTGTATTTCAATTCTATTCTATTCAATGAAAGTTGCTATCACAATAAGTTTTTTTTGTACTAGTATGTATAGAAATGTAAAATGAAGGTAAAAAATAAAAATAAAAAGTTGTTGAATTTTTGCTTTTGCGAGTAAAAACAAAAAATAGCCAATAGAAAACCACAACTAAAAGAATATTTTGAATAAAAAACAAAAAAAAAAAGAAACAAAAAAGGCTGGTTAAGAACAAGTAAGTTTAGGATGAAATCAGTCTGGCTAATGGTAGATCCAGATCCCAGTCTGAATCTTAATTTTCATTTGTAGAGGGATTTTCTAAATGTTTCTGTTGCTCCAGCCAAACCCAATCAAGATCATGTTTCTTTTTTGTTGCGCGTATTTAACTATTTAACTAGTTTTCCATAAATTTATACTTATTGATGAATAGAATTTTAGAAAAAAAATTTGAAAAATATCAGGATAAATATCGTCGCATAAATATCATGATATTTATCAAGATATATATCAGGATATTTATCACTGGGTGGCCCACCGGGTTTGAGGTATGTAAAAATAAAAAAATGTTTTAAACTAACAAATATTATTAGGCAAATCGACTTTATCTTCAGTAAAGTAGTAGATGTAGATAGTATGTTATTTCTGTGCTTTTATTTTCTTTCGATTCGATAAAAAATGGTTTATTCCATTGCGAAAAGAGTTGAAATTATTTAATTGTATTTTATAAAAAATGTTTTTTGTTGTTTATGGTAGGTAATCATTTCTGAACATAATTTATATATATTATTAAAAATCTGATGGGTTTTGCTCTATTATAATAGAGCAAAACCCATTATCTAATATTATCTTATTACTTTTATCAGTCAATCAATATTCTATAAAAAGCTTATCCTTTGAGATTCACTTTCGGTTTATATGTATATTCGTTGCATGCCAAAAAGGTCCAGGAAAAAAGTCCTAAACAAGAGGATGATGCGTATCTGAAGTCTCAAGAGGCTAAATCTATATTCTTTTATACAGGTTATTTGATACATTTTTTATATGAATATTTTTTATATACATAATGGAGATTTCAAAGGGTAGCTTAACTTGGGAAAACAGAGTCTATAAAAAAGTTTTTTTCAATAAAAGTCAAAATTTTAATTTAAAAATTATATCTAAAAACGTGAAAATTTAAAAGAAATTTTTATAAACAAATTTTGTGTTACCTTAACAAAAATGTAAATTGTATTTTGTACAATCTGGAAAAACAGCAGCGTACAGTGTTTATATTAACCCATAAACAAAATGACGTATCCATACCATCAGCTGCGTGCTGTCTACACAGGGATTTGCATTATGCCCCTGGCATTTGCCAGGCCCTTTTATAAATTTTACCGCTCATAATTCGCATATATTATGACATAACTCGGAAAACTCCGATATTATAAATTTTTGACGTAAAACTTTACAAATTTCTGATGCCTGTGCCTTCACATGTGGCGAGATTTTTAGCGGTATTATGTGCATTTTTAATTAAATCTTGAATTTACATGCAAAATTTATTTTAATTTAGAACTCTATAATTTACTTACGCGATATGCACAAAGTTTTAGTAAAAATGCAATATACAATAGTTCAGATCCCGACATTTTCCACCGCAAACTAGATTGCGACAGATATTGCAGTGCTGTGATTGGTAAATTATTTCCGATTGAAACCACTTTCTATAGAAAGTAAAGTCGCAAAGTTTAGGAAACACCGCCCTTCTCAACTCGACTAGAAACCCTTCTGTGGTACATAAACTTGTGAATTTTTAGTTAATGGTGCGTTTCGACAAAAGTTTTTCTAAGTTTAAAACAAAACTCAAATGCAGCTTTTTTTTTAAACGCATATTGTGACGGAATAACTTGACTAGCTTACATCCGATCTTCATGAAACTTTCAATGAAAGATATGTCATTTAAATTCACCAATTGTAACCCCTCTTTTTTTTGAGATTCGAATAGATTATGAAATTGTGGTTTTAGCAATATTCAAATTAATACAATTTGGGCTTATAAAATTAACATTTTGTTACGTGTGGAAGAAGATCCTCACAGTGCTTCTAGCCTAGTGGCAGCTAAAACTCAAGTCAGTCAACGCTTAGTATTACGTCTTATGATCAAAGAAAAGTACCATCCATACAAAATTAGACTAGTGCAGGAACTTAACGAAGATATTCCGGACCGTAGACTACAATTTTGTGAAACTATGATGAATTTATGTAACAATAATCCACACTTTCCTCGTAAAATACTTTTTTGGGACGAAGCTACCTTTGGATTGAATGGTACAGTCAACCGTCAAAATTGTAGGTTCTGGATCAAAGAAAATCCTCATTAGGTGGTAGAGGCAAATTCCCAAATACCAGCAAAAAGTGAATGTCTGGACAGGAATGGTGGAAATCGGATCATAGGTCGTTTCGAACATTTAATTGGTTAAAAGCATGTTTAAAACAATTTATATAAAGATTAAAAATATTTTTTGGAAAATTTTTAAATTACTAACTTTTAAATTTAATAACAACCCACAGTAGGCCTAAAACCAGTCTATATTGACCGGATTAGCACCACTTTTTTATGACAAATTTCGAAAATATATATTAAAATAAGCTCAAACGCCCGTTTATAGCAAAATTACCCGAGCCGTTTCGTCGGAAATAATAGTTTAGGTCAAAAAACACGAAAATAATTCATTTTGCTTGCAAAGCAATTATTCAACATTTTACCATAGGTTGTTTATTAAATAAGAGAGATTTTTTCGTCAGGTGGCACCACAATGAAAAGTCATCTGTCAAACTGTCCACTTTACGGACATAGTTGCTGAACTACACATTGAGCTTATATGTTGCCGAATAGTTTATTGTCAAATTATGTACCTTATAACAATGAACGTTAAAATTATGTATGTGAAAACTCATGCTGGGACCCATGAAGAAAATCGCGAATGAGTTTGATTATTATGTTTCAAAAAGAAGGCGGATATGCGAAAAATTACTGGAGCTCTTCAGAGCGCGGTTCAGGACATTTTTCCGTCTTCCACGACTCATATGCAGTGCTTACAAAATATATATTTACCAAAAAAAAAGTATCCGAATTCGTGTGCTGTTCAGATACTCGATTTCTACATTTCCTTCTTTACTAAAACAAACAAGGAAACAATATAAAATAAAATGTCAGTGCAAATTATGCGAGTTCGTACGAACACTGGGACATATCAGTGTCAAGAAAAAAGTTACCAAGCAATTTGAAAGGTGTAGAAAATCTTTGCAATAAGGAGTCGAAC